AGCGTTTCTAGTGTAATGGTCAGCAGTCTTTTTTTGGTTATATTGATCATGATGCGGCCCTTTTGAGTCTTTGGCGGTGTATTTATTTTGCGAATTTATTTTTTAAGCCGTACCCTGTTGATGTGGACGACTGACCTATGTGTTGGTGAATCGCTTCAACGTCATCGGAGAAAAGCTGTTCTTCTTTTCGCTTCTGAAGTTCTCGAATGATATATGTCTTGATCGAATCTGTTTTCCTGTTAGCCGTGAGCTGAGCCTGTGGCTTTTAGGGGACCTAGGTCTCTTTATTTCAAAATTGTCCCGTCGCGGTCGAACGGTCATAACAGTGTTTTCTTTGCAGCCGGTACGGACTGCTATTTGTAAGAGATACTCATCATGCATTGTGTTTGCATCCAGCGGATCGCAACAACGCTGCAATTCGATGCTTTGCTTATTTCATCCTGTCTTATCTCGTCTCGACTCAATGCGCTATTTGCATGAGCAAATGTACGCTCTCTCTTTCTCAATCTGCCACCACTGTGTTGTTGTGTTTGTTCATATTGACAGCTGTATGCGTATAATGCAAAAGTATTTATGTAGATATCAATAGCCTTACGTACGGCGTAATTTTAGTGTAATCGACCTTCGTGGTTATTGCACATTTTATTTTGATAATGGCAATGTTATATTCATGTTAATCGAATGTTCCCTTTCAATAACAAAGATATTTATTGTTCTTATTCAATTTTCTGCCAATTTGTCGTGTTCGAGCAATTTCACATCACTACGAACACCACTAGTGATCGTAATGCAAACAATCGTAACTAGTAATAGCAATAATAACAATGGTAATACTCGCTGATAATCGCTATGATAATCTCTTTATGCGCATTGTTAACTGTTGATTTTTTTTTTCGTCATTTAAACGCACCTCATAATTCATCATGTATTTGTTGGCTATTTACAACCTAACACCTCGCCTACATGATGGCCGCAGCGATTCGTTACCAAGGCCGTCCACGATGGCTAGCGTAAACGAGTCTAGGACTGAAAAGTTCGAAGTGGACTCAGCTCAAGCACATAACTCAGCTCGGGCTAAAACTCGGACTGATTGTGAGACTAATGCCTGACCCGCCTGTATCTTACGTTCCAACCCCAATTACTCTTCGAACCGGCAATATGCAACACTGCTTCAACCCGACTTTCGACACTTCGACACCTATCAAGCAAACATGTGTGATTTATTTAGAGTTTAGACTGGATCGTTGAAATGAACTAGATTGTAGGAATGAAAGAGAGAGACTAATAGAGAAACGGGGAGTGTCTGCGGCGTATGTGTGGTTTGTGTTTGTGATGGGTGGTATGTAGCACACGGATGGAAAGTGAGTAGTGATGGGCGAAATAATGTAATTTTTATAGTGCATGATGCTACGACGATGTGAAACGTAGTAACGAGAATTTTGCTCGGGTATTGCTGCTTGTTTTTGAGGGAATGTCTGAAGTTTTTTAGCACAATGCGGCCTGCTATAACGTGTTTGTTGCAAATCATTTTGCATGGTATTTTTGGATTGTTTGATGTTAAATTGTATATTATTGATTTGTTTATTAGCGATATTGTCTGCGATTTTGTCGCTTTGTTGATAATACACTGAAAAAGTGCTACTTTAAATTAGAATCTTCATAACTTGTTGCAAAAATAATCCATAGCGATGAAGAGAAGCTTCATCAATAAATAATCAATGCGTTATTTGAAATTATTTAAAATAGCTTTATTTAAAAATTTCCGACAGAGACGGAACGAAATCCCATCGAAAACATTGGTGGTAGGGTAGTCGTAAAAAATTGAGGAAATTCAGCAAGATTTGTTGCCGTAGAGGGAGTTCTTTATTTTACTGAGAGTTGAATAGCCTGCTTCTGATTAGGTAGTAAGGCGCTTGTCTAGTGGGCCAGTGTATGGTGGCTTATGGAAGCTCATTCTTTATTTTACATATTGATTGCATATTGGACGTTGTGCTTGTTCGTTTACAAACTTTTTAAGTGCTAATTACCAACATTTACTGAGACATTTAATGTGATGTATTGTTTATTTATATTTATTGCTAATGTGTTTTCCATTCATGTACATGGAGACGTTCATTGTTGTAAACTTCTTCGTTGTGCTTACGCTTCGTTCAATGTTAACGTTTGTATAATTCCTTATGATTAGGATCGTTCATAGTATTATTGTTAGCATTATTATGTTATTGTTATTGTATTTTGTCATTAGTATTATTGTTAGTATTCTGTGTATTATCATCACTGTTTGTTTATTATCATAATGATATAATTTATTTCGCAAATATTTGAGTCATAGCAATGAGAAAGTAATTGTAGATGAATTTACCGCGTAACGTTTTCATAATGCTCATCATCTTTGTTATTTTATTTTACAAGTGTGCCAATAGTCATCTATTCTCTGTTGTCAAAAATTACTATAAGAAACAGGCCATCTTCAAAATATTCAGTTTCTCATTTGTTCCTGAAAATTCCCGTTTTCCGGCGCCAGTTAATATATTGCGTGTTATCGGCTTTTGNTGTGTGTTGCTATAATCATGTTATCGCATTTGCATCGAAATTGTCTCATTAACTATCTCGACTGTCCGCAGTTTTCATTGTTATCAATTTACAAAACAAGTCACATCGTACGAAAACAAATGACATGTTGTGAATATGGTCCGTGTCCTGTATTTCCCGTCCATCGTCCCCTTTCCCACTTGTTTTACGTTTTATTTGCTGTGAGTGCTCTACCGACCACTACAGAATGGTTTTGCGTATCGAAAGTAACGAAAGTCGGTGGCTAAATTATCGTTATTGACAACGCGTGTATTATGCAACGATCGTTTGCTGGGATTTTTTCAAGTGCCAGTTATTAATTTTGAAGTTTAATTTCAGTTTTCTTCTCGAAATCAACTTTGGAAATTTGGTTAAATTAGTCAACATAATCAAACTCTTATTGATTGATAGAAGTATTGTTGATTTGAAAGTGCCGTAATGAAGGCACTTTTTGATAACGGAACTTCGAATCCTTCGGTCCGACGTCTAGTGGCACTTGTTCGAGCGAAGACGCAAGGTGATGATCCTGCGAGCGAAAAGGTTCTTCTTTTTGATCGCGTTTTGCTATTGTCTTTTGATTTTTCTGGTCGTTGATTTGTTATAGCTACCGGAAAAATTCGAGTGTTTGTTTAGTGCAGGTTCATCTTCCGAGATGTTTTCTAAATTAGTGAACCAAGAATTACGAAGCACAGTGCCTGATATATTAGCCGTTTGATTATTTCTATGTACTGTAGGATGACCGATGGTCCGAGAAAGCTGTGAAAAGTTTAGTGAAGAAGTTGAAGAAAACGAAAGCAATTGAAGAGTTGGAGAAGGCGATTTCCACAGAGGATCCGTTCACGGATTGTGTTTGTATACCTAGGTAGGTTATTCTCCTTTTCATAAGTTTTTCATTTTCAATCCATTTTTATTTTATTCTTTTTCATTTCTCCAAATTCTTGAATCCGTCAGTGATTATATGTCCATTTGGTGATGTTTCAGTTAATATTAGGGTTTATTTTAAAGGAGGAATCCTCATGTAATGTTTATCTGCTGTTTAGTGATATATTGTAATAATATTCTTTTATTTAGTTTCATCCTTTAATCGTAACGTTCAGTTAAAAATAAATTCTTAGACTATATAAATTACGTTTTCTTCGACGGATGTTATGTTAATCAGTGAAAAATATTAGTTGAATAAGATATTGATGCTTCATTCAAGATGAATGGTATTAATGCTTCATTTGAACGTTGTTTATGTATGACTGGAATACTGTGCAAATTCAGGTCTTTGGACGGTCGTTTGCAAGTATCGCAGCGAAAATGTTTACCGCATGTAATCTATTGCCGTATGTGGCGTTATCCAGAAGTCAATTCAACGCATCAGCTGAGATCCGTATCGCATTGTCGATTTCCATTCAATAAGAAACTTGATCACGTTTGTATCAATCCGTATCACTATGAGAAAGTTGAAACTCCTGGTGAGTTCTTTATTTTTTATTTTAATTCTATTCATTTATTTCGTACTTTGATCACGTTTTCGATTATTCTTGCAGGTACTGTGAACTTTCCGTCGTTTTCAAACCCGTGTATACTTCCATTGAAAGTGAGTCCTGTTATTTAGGTTCGACCTGTATATGCGTATCTGTTTTCAGCATTGCCGGCAATTCTGATACCCCGTAATATGCAATGCAGTAGTAATGGCAATTCGAATTGTAACACCAACCCATGTCGGCAAGTACCCGCCCTTAGCGGGCTTTCGCATACTGGTGATCTATCAACGGCGCTCCGGACCGTTAACCCATCACTTGATACCGATGAGGTAGGATGGTGCACTTGTCATACGTCCATCATCTCTCATTCATGTTGAATCGATATTTATTCGAAGCTTTAACAATGAACTGCTGAACGTTCTCCGAATATTCATGAACGGACTGTAAAAATTGTAGTGGTTTCAGTTGACTGGTGACCGATGTGTACCAAACCGAACGTTACAATTCGGTGACGACGAAGTTATGATGCAGTCAGCATTGAGTTCACCAACAACAACCACATTGAATAGTCCAACTAGTGGTCTATCACTGGCACCTTTCAATGCACTACAATCACCCTTTAACTCACCAAACCCCATCGTTGATAGCCCACTGTTCCCCGCCAACACTGAAGGTTTCTTTATCCAATCAGTCAATTTCTTATAATTTTTCTCCACTTATTTGGTATATATTCATCGAATTTGTTTGTTGGCTAAGTGTGCAGCGTTCATTCATTTATAATTCGCGAAATGTCAATGTCACACCTTTCGACAGAAATGTCGAATATTGCGATTGCTTCATGAAAAACAAATTTGATTGACATCTTTGTAAACTTCTTGTTGAGGAGGAAATGTAATTTGGTATTAATTGAGAGGTTGAATGAAGATGTTTGATGTCGTTTATTGATAAGTTATATTCAGCTGCATCACCACGTGGTTATTTGAGTGAAGATTTGGAAATGGATGAGGGTCAAAGCCCTCCGGATTCATCTCGCGCAATATCACCCACTGATTCCACTTCTGTTGGTAGTCCACTCTGCAATCGTATGTTCTCTGTCATTCATTTATTAATTAGTTAGCATAAAATGTTTCCCTTCATCGAATGCAGATGTTGATTAGTGTTTAGTATTGTCTTATGTGTGATAAATAGTTGAAGTGGGTTTCAGTGGGTTTGATAGCCGTCGAGTATTGTGAGCCACCGTTTTGGTGTTCGGTGTCATATTACGAATTGTCACAGCGAGTTGGTGAGATATTCCACGCATCACAGCCGTCGTTAGTTGTTGATGGCTTCACGGCACCATCGGATACGGAACGATTTTGTTTAGGACAGTTGTCGAATGTTAATCGAACACCAGCCGTGATGGAGGCGAGAAGACATATTGGTACACTTTTCGAATTTCTTTTTTTTCGTTGACCGTTCGTTTATTTTTTGTTGTTTCATTTAAGAAGACGTTTTAAATACTCAGTTCATTCTCACAAATGCATGCAAATGATTGAAGATTGAATATGGAGTAATGTTATCGAATGACAGCATTCACACTTCAGCATTGAATGAGATTTAACAGTCATCTTCACTGCATCAAATATCACATCAGATACTAAATAGCATTTTCTATTTATGTGTTATTTATGTTGTGCAATTGAATTGCTTGTTTGGTGATAACATAGTAAATTTGAGGTCGGGGTGCAAGATTCTATTATATCGGTGGTGAAGTTTTCTGTGAGTGTTTGAGTGATTCGGCGATTTTCGTTCAAAGTCCCAACTGCAATCAACGTCATGGATGGCATCCGGCGACCGTTTGCAAAATTCCACCAAGTTTGTTTCACTCTTTTTTCACTAAAAATTGCTTCCATCAGTTTCATTTTTTCATGCACACTATTGGTGTTGTGTTTTTGGTAAGAATATAGATGACGAATGCCACTTAAAAAAATTGAACTATCGCTTGATTGTAGCGTTGGCTTGGGGAAAAAAGTAAATTTCTCGAAGGTGATGCAAAGAAATTATCTCATTGATTTGTTTGTGTGAAAAATTGGATTGTTATATTGTAGTTTTGTTGTTGACCAAGAAAGTGTTTCCATTTCAGACTGTAATCTCAAGATCTTCAACAACGCCGAATTCGCAGCTCTGTTGGCCGCCTCTGTGCCGCAAGGCTTCGAAGCGGTTTATGCACTCACACGTATGTGCACAATTCGAGTGTCGTTCGTAAAAGGCTGGGGCGCGGAGTACAGACGTCAAACGATAACGGCGACGCCGTGTTGGGTTGAAGCCTATCTGAACGGCCCTTTGCAATGGCTCGATAGCGTTCTGAAACAAATGGGTAGTCCACCAAATCGATGCACTAGTTTTTCGTGATTTCATCGAGCTAAATTGAATTCTTGATTTTGTTTGTTTTCCCATTTAGAATTTGTGAATGAAAATTTGATTGACCGCGCTTTCGAGCTTTCAATTATTTTACTTCCGGTTTTGGTGTGAATTTTTTTCGAATTTTCTTTAGGTTTACTCTGGTTTACTTATTTATTTATTTGCTTTAACTCCATTGATTGGGTTCATTCGTTCGTCAGTTCTATTCATTAATTGATTCAATTGTTATTCTTGGCGTTTCGTATTCAAAAGACAACTTTTTCCTGTTGAATGTTGAACTATTGCTACCTTGACATTGGGCATGAAAGTGTGAGTTGTTTATTCCTATGTATATAGCTTAACTGTGAATTTTTGTGGGTTCGAAGAGTGAGATGCTGACTTTGGAAAGGACTCACTGGTCAGTATGACTCCGAGAAGTCGGAAAATTATTGCACTCCAGATCTGTAGGCTGTCTCAGTGCATCTCACTCTTTGCATGAAAATGTGAGTGAATGTTGATGGCTTTATATGGGGAAGAGTCTACGCAAGCGTGTAGTGATGAAAGTGATCTGCTTTGGCTGAGACGTCTCTGCTCGAGATGCACTTCGTTATCAATTTCGCTTTTCTCATACCTGATTACAACAATGATCCTCGTTAGTTTTAATGGTGATAGTATAGTTCGAGGAAAGCCAACAAGCTTCACTCTCGTCTTTGAAGAATTTTTCTCGAGGAGTAGAAAGTAGTATTCAAAAGGAAAGTCGCAATTCTGAACACTTAGAATGCGTTTTCGAATGAGTGCGTTCGATGTGCTTTTTGCTGTTGTTATGTTATTGAGATTCACTGCAGAAAATTGTTATATGTTGAATATTATCGTGTGAATTTATTATTTCTTTGCGAATTCCTTGTTGTTATGTTCATTTTCTTGCATTCTCATTTTGTATTGTTCAAATTGTCATACCTTTTGGTAACTTGCTGTTCTTTTTTGCAGCAAAACAGATGTGATATGATGACTGTTGTTTCTGATAATATTTAAACATTTGTATTCACATTAGAACTCGAAATCATTCATTGACTAAGAATATGTACCATATTTCAATATTTGTCATTATTTCGTTCATTCGGTGATATTTGTTTGTATTCTGTTATATAATGAGTGTTTTGTAATATTTGTGAAATTTAATATGAGGGCATGAATAATTCTGATTTTTATTCCATTTTTCATGTATATATGTTTTGTATTTCTCTGATTTTGCTCGTATGTGTCAGGGTTCTTAGACTTTTCCACCTATCGAAACCGACAAAATATTTTCCAGATTGTGTTAGCAGAAAACGCATGCTGAAAACTTATTACTTTTGTAAGGAATACCACCTCCTGATGCCGAAATTTTCCGTGGGTGTTCGGGGAGTTACTGAAATTCTGGGGGCGCTCGAATAACAGGCGCAGAGCTAAGCTCACCGTGATTTTTTAATGAGGTTTATTTTTTTGAACGTTTTGTTTTTTCTTATTAACATTATCAGTGAAATTTCGTGGAGTGCGATTCTGATGAGTTGATTCCATGCATTGCATGAGAGAGCTGTTCACATTTTGCATGAGTTTGTATGAGTTCATCTTTCCTATTACCAATTCTATATTATTATTCCTTCAATCATCAATATTATTTTCATCATTTTATTATATTACATTATTATGTACCGTATGTATTTTCTGTTTTTTTAAGTTTGATTTTTATGTTGTTTCGTTACAAAATCTTGACTCAACAACTCTTTCAACTCTGATTTTAATAGTACGGATTTACTAATTGAAGTATATTTTAATAGTGTAGATAGTAGATATATTTTAGTGGGAGATATATGCCACTGGCATGCGATAATAAGTTCATTCCCATCTAGGTTCACTGTTGTCGAGCGGGAAACCCTTAAATTTTAGGATTTGCCTCCCCCCGTATCACCCTACCACACACAGATACCTACCTGAATTGTAATCACTTTTTGGGGGTGACGTGACGTTTTTGTTGTTCATTTTGAACGCTGAACTGTTAGAAACCTATTTACAACACTCTTAAGTCAACCAAAAAAGCTACCATCATTTAGACGTTGGAGCGTCAAATAGTTTCAACTCTTATGAATTTTGAGGCGGTCGTCTCTCTCAGTTGCGATCTCAGATTCTATGAATCCGGACTAAGACGTGTTCTGCCCGCGTACTAGTATTTGAATGTATTCAGGATTTGAAAAATATACTTTGCGAAACGAAATCATATTTCCATTCTGTTCCAGTTAGAATCAGTCAGTTGAATTCGGTTACCGCTGTCCTCATTTTCCACCCTATTTTTCTTCCTTTTTTCTCGCTTTTTGCGGAAACTATCCTGTTTTTTTCGATGGAAATATCGGTGTTTTGATTGTTCAATTTTTGAGATGTTTATTTATTTTCTTTATCTTTGTTCGAATGTATATTTCTCTGCATTATTCCTAATAATAATGATAATAACAATCAACAATAATGACTTAAATAATTGTCGTTATCATTTTAAATATTCTGAATAACAGAATAATTTTGATGTGTAGATGTCAAGAGAGTTTGGAATATCAAAGATCGCTTTTAATGATAATAATAATATTATATCCCATCATAATTGATTGATTTGAATAAACGATTCTTCCGTAATATTCGTTTTTTTTCAAAATTTTTATTTCTGCAAAATTCACAATTTCCTAAGCAGGTGGATACCTCTTTATCAATTAATTCCATGAACAGATCCATTGAAAGTTTTCGAGAGCCCTTAGAATGACACCAGAATTAGAGTCTTTTTGCCCGAGCAGTCCAATGTTTTTGACCAATACTCATCTGAAAATGATGAGGGACAGATGGATCCTTGATCTAATTTTGCTAACAGTAAAATTTTAATCGGTTCCTCTTGCGATTGTTTTTGCGAAACAGCCGAATCAAAATGATGTATAATGATGAATGATAAGTAAACTGTATGTGAATGTCGTCAACATAACAGGCGTCATAATTTCTTATTACAGCATGCAAATCTGCAATATTATTGAATACAAGAGATGAAACAACAGCTAATTTCTGATATCGATCAAATCCATAAATCCATAATAGTGAAAATGCATGAAAATTTCCGACATCCGTCATTTGACAGCGAGGTTTCAATGCCCAAAAACATTCTTTTTGATATCGCTATTTCAAAAATTCATTAAATTATGATTGCAGAACTTACTCATAATTTCACCACTTTCATCGAGCATCGAATTATGAGGTTCAACCATAATTGTTGCGAACACTCTGCAACATACTACCTCAGTG